AGGAAGGAGGGAGGGAGGGAGGGAAGGAGGGAGGGAGGGAGGAAAGAGGGAGAGAGGAGAAGGGTCTTTAACATTCCCACCCAGAGGTAAGCAGGCCCAGCAGCGGAAGACAGCTCTGCTCCATGAGGGCCTCCAGGACCCAGGTTCCAGTTACCTTGTTTGTCCACTGTCAACCGCAGTAGGTTGTATCGTAGAAGCTGGTTCACTAGTATCTTCTCCTTCTGTCCCTTAGGAGAGGGAAGGCAGTGAAGGAAGAGCAAAGCCGTCCTTTTCAAAGGATTGTATGTAGAGCTTAATTAAATACCTGGCTTCTGTTCGCACGTCATTGCCGAGATTTTAGTCAAATAGCCACCCACAGTTGAAAAAGAGGCTAGAAAATGTGACTCTAGCTAGGCAGCCATGTGCCCAACTAAAATTCAGTGGATTCTGTTATCAATCGGGAGGAGGAAAGAGTGGACGGTGGAATCCATTCACAGTCTTCCACGGGTATTGTCATGGAAACTAGTGTTGTTTCCCCGAGCTATGACACTATTGATTGTAAAACCCATCATTTTATGCACGATTAAGTAAAAAAAAAATTCTATTAAACATATTTTCTTATTAGCCTAATTGTAGGACCCATCCCAATTTAAGATGTGTTAAAATGTGAAAAACTTGTGTCTCGCTATAGAAGAAATACAGTATTGGAAAGACTGAGGAAGAGAAAGTGATCCAAAGACATTCATTTTTGCAGTCTTTGTGTGTGTGTGTGTGTGTGACTTTCCTTAGAGCAAGCCTTGACAGGAGATATCAAACTTTGTTTTAGCCATCAAGTGTAATGCTCGACTAGGCGACTAACAAAGTACTATCAGGGTGAGCGTGCTCGAAGTCAAATTCCTGCGACTGCTGGCAGAGAGACTTTTGTCTCAAAGTCTTGGGGGGAAATTTTGCCTAAATCTCCACTCAGTCTTGACCGGATGTGGAGTCGAGTAAGAAGATAGTAGGGGTCCTGTCTTTCCTAGTCCGGGCTCTCACTTAGTAGGACAAAGACTGAGGGCAATATTCCGAGGGAACAGGCATGGCCTGGGCACTTGACTTCTGGCCTCACACTCAGTCATCACCCAAACGTTGGTTGACCGGCCACTTTGCTTGGTGCTACAACACGGCCCATGCCCTCCTGGAGCTCCAGAGCTCGGGGAGGGAGAAAGAGAAGTAGACGTGCAGATGAGACGCACAGATCGGGCGGCCTCAGAAAGGCCTCCCAGTGGAGCTGGAATCGCGACTGGGGAGGTCGAAGGGCAGAGGAGACAGAATGTGCAAGAGCATGGGAACTGTCGCATGAGGGCATTCTGGTAGGATTCCTTTGGCATGCTAGACCGGGGCAGCCGTGGTGACCCAGGGTCTGCTGTTCAGCTTTGTTTCCCTTACGGTACCTTATACATGGTAGGCAAACAGCAGTACGTGTTTAATGCAATTCAAGAAAAGACCCAACTTCTTGCACGGCCGAGTAGAGATGAGCTGAATTTTCCTGGCTCCAAAAGATGCTAGATTCCAGGAAACGGACGGAAGCAAATTGATCTCTTTGGTGCGGTGCTTGCTGTTGAACTCGCTGGTATTTGGTGTGTTAACACCAGGTTGATATTCAACAAAGAAACACTCGTTTGGATCCCCCCTGCTTTTGCCACTTTCACGTTTATTTTCTCCAGTTTCATAAATGCACAAATGTATTTTACTTTAAAACACCCCGTTTTTCCTTGTTTAGTCAGATTAGAATTCAGTACTGCTGATACGTGCTTGAGTGTCAGTGTGGCAACCACATCTTGGTGAAATTGACCTTTTAACAAAGCGAGGAAATCAAAAGTCTTCATTCTCAGGTTTTCAGATGTAGTAAGTGGAAAGACCCTGGTCAGTTCAGTCAAATCATTCGACTCGGTGGCTTTGAACCTGGTCAGTGAAAATCTATAATGTGCAGGTGTTTCTTGCTGTATTTGCTACTGAAATCTGCTTCTCTCATATAGATCACTGTTACAGATGAGGAAGTTAGTAACCCATCCTTTTTAGATCTGGTGAGGACTCCCCAAATGAGGAAGTGCACACTTATTCTTATGTTTGCTTGGTAAGTCTGACTTGTGATGAGCTCAAAACCTTGTATCGAATTTACGACGTGTCCCCTCGTGCAGGTCAGGCTGAAGTTATGTCTTACTTGATCTCCGTTGTCTCTCAATGTCACCCCAGGTTCACAAGTGCCGTGGTTTATCAAGGACTCGTCATGCGCCTGGGGATTATAGGAGGCAACCTGTATATCGACTTCTTCATCTCGGGAGTTGTGGAGTTGCCTGCAGCCCTCTTGATCTTACTGACCATTGAGCGTTTTGGACGCCGCCTTCCCTTTGCAGGAAGCAACATGGTGGCAGGCGTGGCCTGCCTTGTCACCGCATTCTTACCAGAAGGTAATGGGCCCCTGAATCTGTTGGGAACTCAAGGCCTTGAAGTAGTCTTAAATCAAAATAATCAAGAATGGGAGCCTCTTGTCCTCAGAAAACGTATCACTGCATCAAAATCTTAGCACCAGGCAAGCTGTAGTGATGGCACTCGATTTTCTGCTTAATCAGCGTAACGAGTTTGAGTGTAGCGGTTGGTTCCATAGACTTTTCTGTTTTCTCCACTTCAGGTGCATTTATGGATGAAATAGATGTGCAAAATCTAGCTTGTAGCCATGTAACTTGCTTTTGATCGCCTTTATTTGACTTATTTTCATGATATCGCCGACCATGTTTTGCATATTTCCTGAGCTTCTGCCATATCACTGGCCCCATGCAAAGCACCAGGGTTACAAAAGGAGGAAAGGAAGACACTTCTGACTTCCAAAGGTTCACAACCTAGTAAGAGATATAGATACCTTATTTTTGAAATTTTTTTCTTACAAGTTTTTATTCATATTCCAGTTAGTTAATGTACAGTGTAATAATCGCTCCAAGGGTAGAATTTAGTGATTCATCACTTACATGCAACACCCAGTGCTCGTCACAACAAGTGCACTCCTGGGGCGCTTGGGTGGTTCAGTCAGTAGAGCGTCCGACTTCAGCTCAGGTCATGATCTCGCGGTTTGTGGGTTCGAGCCCCACATTGAGCTCTGTGCTGACAGCTCGGAGCCTGGAGCCCGTTTTGGATTCTGTGTCTCCTTCTCTCTCTGCCCCTCCCCTGCTCACGCTCTTTCTCTCTCTCTCTCTCTTAAAAATAAATTTAAAAATTAAAAAAAAACTTTAAAAAGCAAATGCCCTCCCTAATACCCATCACCCATTGAATCCATCCGACCACCTGCCTACCTCCCCTCCGGCAACCCTCAGATTGTTCTCTGTAGTTAAGAGTCTGTTTGTTCTTTGCCTCTCTTTCCCCCCACGTTCATGTCTTATGTTTCTTAAATTGCACATGAGTGAAATCATGTGGTTTTTGTCTTTCTGACTGGCTTATTTCATTTAGCATAATACTCTCCAGCTCCTTCCACACGGTTGCATTTAAAATGGCAAGATTTCATTCTTTTTATGACTAGTAGTATCTCATTGCATATCTATACGATATGTTCTTTATCCATTCATCATCAGTCAATGGACATTGGGGTCGTTCCATAACTTGGCTCTTGCTGATAATGCTGCTGTAAACACCGAGGTGCATGTTGGGATATAGACACTTTAATGCTTTCACAACTCACTATAATACATGAAATAATGGAATTATTTACAGTTGACCTTTGACACAACGGTGGGGGCGCTGACTCCCTGCATGGTTGAAAATCTGAATATGATTTTTGACTCCCCCGAAACTTAACTGCTAATAGCCTTCTGTTGACCAGAAGCCTTACCAACAACAAAACAGTCAGTTAACACTTATTTTGTATGCTATATGTGTTATATTCTGTGTTCGTACAATCAAGTAAGCTAGAGAAAAGAAAATGTTAAGAAACTCATAAGGTAAAGAAAATACAGTTACAGTACAGCACTGTGAAAAGTGTCTGCTTGTGGGTGGACCCATGCAGTTTAAACCTGTTGTTCCAGAGCCAACAATACAAGATTTAGAAAAATAAATCTCTCTGAAGGCTCTGACTGATTAAAAAAATAGACGCAAGCAGTGATATGCATGAAGTAGTCAGGAAAAGCTTCCGGAGGCAAGAACTCGGCACATACGAAGGAAAAGAAACGTACTGGACAGGGGCACCTGGCCCGCTCGGTCAGAAGAGCATGTGACTCTTGACCGCACGGTCACGAGTTCGTACACATTGGGTGTAGACATTACTAAAAAAATAAATAAGCTTAAAAAAAGAAGAGAAAGGAAATGTAGTGGACAGAAGGGAAGGGTAGTAGAGATTGTCCACAGTAGGGCAGAGCTCTCAGAAGTATGAGCCATCTTCGGGAGTCCTGGGACCACACGTTCTCTGTTATTGCTGGAACATGCACGAGAAGGGGCCGAGGATACCTGCCACCAGCAGTGACTGGCCTCCCTGGCCGTGCCAGGAACTTGGGCATGGTCCCGCGAGCTTCCTGCTCACCGCATCAGGTTGGATCTCTCCAGTGAGGAGAGAGATGCCGAGAGCAGGAGTTAAGGTTGTGGCAGGCGGCCCGGGGGGCACAGGGTGATTTCAGGGAGAAGTCAGAGTTCGTGGGGGGGCCCGAGGCCAGTGCACGCTGAGGAGGTGGCGGGTGACCCCAAGTGCACCGTTAACACAACCCACGTTATCTCTGCCACAGGACACAGCAGACGCAGGACAGGGAAGCTTTTCAAAGCCCCACGGAATGCGTAGGAATTAGAGCAAGTTCGTTCTTTCCATGTTCCGGGGTATGTGGGGTGGGGGATACTGAGAGGGCTGATTCTCTGGGAGCCCTTTTGTTGGCCCCAGAGAGTCTGTCTTTTCTTTTGAGAATCACTTGAGGGTCAAGAAAGAAGCTCCAGTATTGTGGAAGTGAAAATAGACATTTACAGATGAGTTTGTTAATTATATGAAGGTTTATGAAGTCCCCAAACCCTATTTAAATAAAATTACAGAAATGCCCCCCTTCAGACCAGAAAATTAAGATGTAAAGTCTTCTGGGGCGCCTGGGTGGCTCAGTCGGTTAAGCGTCTGACTTTGGCTCAGGTCGTGATCTCACAGCTGGTGAGTTCAAGCTCCATGTCGGGCTGTGTGCTGACAGCTCGGAGCCTGGAGCCTGCTTCGGATTCTGTGTCTCCCTCTCTCTCTGCCCTCCCCCATTCACATTCTGTCTCTCTCTGTCTCTTAAAAATAAATAAACATTACAAAAAATTTTTTTAAAAAGATGTAGAGTCTTCTGATTGGAATGGTTGATGATAAACAGAACTGTTTATTTACACTGATCTCATTTTTGATGAGTATACCAGATTCCTAGGGCTATAGTAACAAAGCACCACATCCCGGGTGGCTTGAAACAACAGAAACGTATTCTCTCACAGTCTCGGACACTGGAAATCTGAAATCCCAGTGTGGGCAGGCCCACACTCTCTCTGAAGGCTCTGGGTAAGAATCCTTCCCTGCCTCCTCCTAATTTCTGGCAGTTGCCAGGAATCTTGGGTGTTGCTTGACATCATTCCAATGTCCACCTCCACCCTCGTATGACTTTCTCTTCTTTATGTCATCTGCAAAGATCCATATAGAAATACAGTCACATTCTAGGTTCTGGGTGGACATGAACTCTAGGGGACACTATTCAACCCACAACACTGGATTCAAGCATTCTAACAGTTGAGGAATCTGTATAACTCATATTGGTCAATACTTGTCTAGTATCTTTTTTTTAAATGTTTATTTCTGAGACAGAGACAGAGCATGAGTGGGGGAGGGGCAGAGAGAGAGGGAGACACAGAATCCGAAGCAGGCTTCAGGCTCCGAGCTGTCAGCACAGAGCCCGACACAGGGCTCGAACTCACAGACCGTGAGATCATGACCTGAGCCTAAGCCAGATGCTCAACCGACTGAGCCACCCAGGCGCCCCTATTTAGTATCTATTAATTGCCACCACTAAATTAGGAGTGGGAACAGAGCCTGAAAAAGATAGACGTAGCTCTTATCCTTGTGAACAATGCACAATTGAACTAGAAGGGGGACGAATGGGGAACATTGGAGACCTCGCTGTTGCTTCCCTTTTTGATACCGTATCATTTTGGATTTAGTTCCCTAGAGCGAAGTCTTCTGTCCTCGTCGCACATGGAATAGGAATTATTTATTGCATATGAAATTAGGAAGGTGTGGAGAAAGGTTAATGACTTACAGGTGGCCCATCATTTCATGATACAATCTTTCCCTGGAAAACTCTCTCTGGCCCCGGACTGATTGGGCTCATTTTGATGGGTGCTGCATCCCGCACGATCCCAGAAAGCATTCTAAGCCATATGTCCACACCAACGTTGGAGGAACTAAATGTGTGGGAACGGAGCTATTTTGTAGAGAACACTCATAAATTGAAAACCATAAGGCAAAGAATAGACTTTTCTGTCTGGTCTGATCCGTCTTATTTTGAAGACATAATTTCCCGATTTCAGCCTTAGAATTGTTCTCAGCAGGACTGAAAAATAATTGCTTTTATTCTGGACACATCTGATGTGTACATTCACAGATTCAGCTGCTTTTATAAAAGCCTACGTCGGCCATGATTGACAAGAAGAGGTTCAAGCCCTAATGCTCCTTGTGAGCACCAAATTTTAACAGAGGTTCCTCGCTGGAGTTGGCAGCCCTAACTTCTACTTAAGGGAGGTTTTGGACCTGGTTACTTGGGCTGCTGGATTAACATTAGAAAGACTCTTCCTCTCAGTCGTTCTTGACGTCATGAACAGGAGGAGGGCCCCTGCACTGAATGCTGATTAGCCTTTTAGAGGAATCAGCTCTAAAATTATCTCTTAGAGAACAATTTAACTGGCTTTGCCTCCACTGAGCACAACTTTTCATGGTCTAAAGAATGACATTCTGGAAAAAGAAAGTCTTTCTGGCTGTCTCTTCACTTAAGGCACTCTGCTTTTGACCCAAATTTCTGAACTCTAATTGAAGTCTGAGAACTAGGTTTTCTTTATCCGTTGCTGTCTGCATCTTTCATTTGGGTTTGTTTAGGATGGGTACAAACCTAGCCCTTTTGGTAAGTAGTCTTTTTGAAAGGAGAATTCTGCCTTTTATTTCTCTTGAAGTGAGGAGTAAGCCAATACATCTTAATTTACATATCTCTATTACAAATTTTCACTACCGTTTTATTTCAGAACTCCAAGCAGATGGTACAGTCAGAGGAGATGTAAAATAGTGTTCATTTAAAATCCTGCATATCCTTTCTTCAAAAATTGAGGCATTATTCTCAGTAATCTCCAGTCCCTTGACCAAATAAACGTCTATTCAGAGGGACCATCTTTCTCTGTGCTCTCAGGACTCCACGGAGCCTAGTTCCAGCGTCACTCCTCATTTTTAAGTTGTCTTGTGTGTTTTCTTGTCACTGTTCCTGAAAGGTGCCTGTTGCCTCTCTGAGACGAACTTCGAGCATTCCTGCGATGGATGATCAGAAGTCTCTGTTTGCATACGTAATATCCACACATCATTTACACTTCCTGACAAATCGCTTTCACTTCACTTTTAAGTTCACGAACAGTGCAGTGCCCTTGGGACTTCTGTTTTATTACACGTTTCACCGAAATCTCTAGCTCAGGGTGGTTAGATAGTGGCCTCTGCTGCTCGGAACGAACTGAGAGTCTTTCGGGGTAAAGTCAGCATGTAGGAGAAACCATGTCTCCCCAAGGGTGGCCGCTTGACAGCATTTTCTCAACATACCGCTGAATTGACTTGTTATCTGTCTGTATTCACTGAGCTAACCACGTGTTGCGTGTGTGTGCGTGTGTGTGTGTTTTCGGTTTCTTGGGTTTCGTGTGGTTCTTTCTGGCAAACGGTGATAGCCTCACTCGTAAACTTAAATTGTCATGAAAGTTATCAGCGGGACTCACTTGTAGAGTAGTCTTGATTCAGTAGGAAAAAAACCCCTCTAACTTAAGAATTTAACCTGGATAATCAAGTCATTTCCACGGTAGCCGGCGACATTCTTTGCAGCCCGAGAACAGTGAGAGGTTGCCCGGTCGGGCTGGGACCCAGGGAATCTGGGCAAGGGCTCCCACTTTCCGTTCCCTGGCCCCTGGCGCTGTACCACCTGCTCATTGAAGGCTGGGGTGGAATGCATTTCCTAGTCCCCCTCTCTGGCCTTCATGAAGAGGCAAGGCCTAAATAAAACACATGTTTACCACTGCTCTGTGCCAGGGCACATGGCAGCCCAGCACATCAGCACAATCCTGATACTCCTCACCCCCTGATGTAACTGTTAGCGTGAGAGCTACAGGTGTCCTCATCTGGGAAAAACGTCAAGTACACCAGGACGTCCTCGGCCAGTTTGCGGTCAAAACGTAGTAACCCGGAGCCTCCCAGCAGTGATCTGGATTCTTAAACCGTCTTTCTCTGTGCTTGACGTCCTAGGCAATGGTTTTATTTGGTCGGTTTTAGCTTTGTTGTTGTTGCTGTTGTCGTTGACTATTCTGTAGAGAAGACCGGTGAATCTACCAAGCTCGATTCTTTTCTTTCATCCTCCGCCTCCACACCTGCTTTTCTACTAAAAAAAATCATGTGCTCGGGAATGAGCATTAATCCTTCTAGGAGACAAGAGGACCATTTAGTACTGAGTGAGCATGAATACATATGAATATAAAAGGGAAGAGTTTCATTTTCAAAGATGGAAGTCAGGATGTCCTTAGCTTTGCTTGGGAGAACAGATACGTGCTTGTCCATCAGTCACATATCTCAGACCCATGTCCCCTAAGGACGGATGGCATAAGTCGCACAACTCTTTGTGTGTGTGTGTGTGTGTGTGTGTGTGTGAATCTTGCTAATCATTCTTTTTTTAACATTTTTAAAATTTATATCCAAGTTAGTTAGCATATAGTGCAACAATGATTTCAGGAGTAGATTCCTTAGTGCCCCTTATCCATTTAGCCTATCCCCCCTCCCACACCCCCTCCAGTAACCCTCTATTTGTCCTCCATATTTAAGAGTCTCTTATGTTTTGTCCCCCTCCCTGTTTTTATATTATTTTTGCTTCCCTTCCCTTGTGTTCATCTGTTTTGTCCCTTAAAGTCCTCATATGAGTGAGGGCATACAATATTTGTCTTTCTCTGACTTACTAATTTCACTTATAATATAATATCCTCTAGCTCCATCCATGTAGTTGCAAATGGCAAGATTTCATTCTTTTTGATTGCTGAGTAATACTCCATTGTGTGTGTGTGTGTGTGTGTGTGTGTGTGTGTGTGTGTATACCACATCTTCTTTATCCATTCATCCATCGATGGACATTTGGGCTCTTTCCATACTTGGGCTATTGTTGATAGTGCTGCTATAAACATGGGGGTGCATGTGCCCCTTCAAAACAGCATACCTGTATCCTTTGGATAAATACCTAGTAGTGCAATTGTTGGGTCATAGGGTAGTTCTATTTTTAATTTTTTGAGGCACCTCCATACTGTTTTCCAAAGTGGCTGCACCAGTTTGCATTCCCACCAGCAGTGCAAAAGAGATCTTCTCTCTTCGCATCCTCGCCAACATCTGTTGTTGCCTGATTGTTAATGTGAGCCATTCTGCCAGGTGTCAGGTGGCATCTCATTGTGGTTTTGATTGGTATTTCCCTGATGATGAATGAGGCTGAGCATTTTTTCATGTGTCGGTTGGCCATCTGGATGTCTTCTTTGGAGAAGTGTCTATTCATGTCTTTTGCCCATTTCTTCACTGGATTATTTGTTTTTTGGGGTGTTGAATTTGATAAGTTCTTTATGGATTTTAGGTACTACCCCTTTATCTGATATGTCATTTGCAAATATCTTCTCCCATTCCGTCAGTTGCCTTTTAGTTTTACTGATTGTTTCCTTCTCTGTGCAGAAGCTTTTTATTTTTTGAGTTCCCAATAGTTCATTTTTGCTTTTGTTTCCCTTGCCTCTGGAGATGGGTTGAGTAAGAAGTTGCTGCGGCCAAGGTCAAAGAGGTTTTTTCTGCTTTCTCCTCGAGGATTTTGATGGCTTCCTGTCTTACGTTTAGGTCTTTCATCCATTTTGAGTTTATTTTTGTATCTGGTGTAAGAAAATGGCTCAGGTTCATTTTTCTGCATGTCGTTGTCCAGTTTTCGCAGCACCATTTGCTGAAGAGACTGTCTTTGTTCCATTGGATATTCTTTCTTGCTTTGTCAAGGATTAGTTGGCCATACATTTGTGGGTCCATTTCTGGGTTCTCTATTCTGTTCCATTGATCTGAGTGTCTGTTTTTGTGCAACTCTTAAGAAATTTAGAGCACTGACTTTTTTAGGGCAAAGATGGTTTACTGCCTCTTCTGTTAAAACTCAAAAGAAATAAAACATTTAATGAAGAACTTTGAGCTTTTTCCCCTAGTTACTTTGGAGGATAGGAGAATTTCCTCATATAACCAGTGCAGCCCCTAGAATAGTTCATGAATGAACCAACTGATTTTTAAGAATCTGGCCTCTTCTAGATGATTTCTTGGGGAAGTAGCAAGATTGGGGATGGGGAAGACAATAAGAAATATACACCCTACCAATAACACAAGGCATAGATCTTCCCTTCTGAAGGTTCCAGTCTCCAAGCCTTTGCTACCCTCTAGAAAGCAACATTGGCTTCACATCCAGATTCTTTCTGGCCTGCTTGGAGCAGGTGTTCTGTGTGTTATCACTAAGGGGTGGGAACAGAGAGAGGGCAAATGGGCAATAGGCTGTGATAACGGTTCTCAAGGGCCCAAGTGAAGACCACCTTCCAGAAGGCCAGGGCACGCAGGCCCTCTAGGATGGCAGTGCCGGGAACACTGTTTTCAATACAGTGGCTGCTGAACAAATGGTTCTTGAATTGTATTTCCATCATCTAACCCTGCTCAGAAAGGCAACTAGCACACTAAATGTAAGCTATCATCCTGGTGGTTGTTGCTGCTAAAATTTGGTTACAATATGGGGCACCTGGGTGGCTTAGTCGGTTAGGCGTCCAACTTCCACTCAGGTCATGGTCTCACAGCTCGGGAGTTCGAGCCCCACATCGGGCTCTGGGCTGACGGCTCAGAGCCTGGAGCCTGTTTTGGATTCTGTGTCTCCCTCTTTCTCTGCCCGTCCCCTGCTCATGCTCGCTCTCTCTCTCTCTCTCTCTCTCTCAAAAATAAACACTTAAAAATAAATTTGGCTACAATATTAGAAGATATCTGTCATTTGTGCTTAACATTAGCAAAGACTTAGGGCTGGGGGAACACTAAACAAATGCCTTTTGTTGTTTTGTGATATTTCATTGAAAGCAAACCCCTAACTCTGCCCTTCCACATTTTCTATTTGCAGGGATACCGTGGTTGAGAACCACAGTGGCTACCCTGGGAAGACTAGGGATTACCATGGCCTTTGAAATTGTTTATTTGGTAAATTCAGAATTGTACCCAACAACATTACGGTAATTCCAACCTACATGTCCTGGTTTCTCCTACGTGATTCTGCAGCCAAATGTTTTCACCTACAACCCGTGAAACAGTTTTCGTAACTTGATGATATATTAGCCCGGGCTGGAGGCAGCCAGTAAAGAAGATCCACTTTGAGCTGTAACTGCTTTCTGCATTGCTACCTTCCGCATCTCTTGACAGAAACATTTCTCATATCAGTATCTGTATACACAGCGGTGGTTTTGTGGGATCGGAAAATCTGGGTAGCGTACTTGCTTAGATGTGGGTCAAAACTGCGCTCGTCGGCATCACCCCGTTTAAAGGCTACGGCCTCTGTTCTGACCACATTCCACGTCTGGCAGCTGTGAGTGATTGAGGAAGGACAGAGTGAAACAGCGTGCGCGGGCTGCACGTTGGCCTCCTTTCCCGGGGGAGCATTCACGGGCCTTCCTTACTGTCAAGTGAGGGTGCCGAGGTGATCCCTGAGCATTGCGGCGTGGGCTGGGCGGTGAGCCTCCGGTGAGAGAGTGATTTCCACCGGCGCCGTAGACCGCCTCGCTCTCCGGGGACTCGGCGTTTGCCTGATGTGAAATGGGGCAGAATGGAAACGGCGTGCTTCGAAATAGGAGAGTAGGTCGTAGTTCTCAAAGTCGAAAGCTACAGAAACGGAAAATGTTACTAAGATTGCTTTGTTGCCTGTGTATCTGAACGTTTCCCTTATCCTGACTACATTTAAATACTTTTGTCTCTAAAACAATGTTTTACTCTACAGAAACTTCGGAGTTTCTCTCTGCTCGGGTTTATGTGATTTTGGGGGAATCATAGCCCCATTTCTGCTCTTCCGGCTGGCGGCCATTTGGTTAGAACTACCTCTTATCATCTTTGGTAAGAACTCCTTTCATACGTGATTCCTAAATGCTTTCATCTATATTCTTTGTATTTCATCTATAGTGATTACTAGGTTTGCTATTAATGAGATCATTCAATTTTTTTATGACGATTGCTTGAGTTTTGAGTGGCCAAACCGATTATAGTCCTATGGGAAACCTAAATGATTTTAATTTATTTTATTTTATTTTATTTTTTTATTTTTTATTTTTTTTTTCAATGTTTATTTATTTTTGGGACAGAGAGAGACAGAGCTTGAACGGGCGAGGGGCAGAGAGAGAGGGAGACACAGAATCGGAAACAGGCTCCAGGCTCTGAGCCATCAGCCCAGAGCCCGACGCGGGGCTCGAACTCACGGACCGTGAGATCGTGACCTGGTTGAAGTCGGACGCTTAACCGACTGCGCCACCCAGGCGCCCCTAATTTATTTTATATAAAAGTGTCGTGATGAGCCATTAGCTTTCTTTGCTTAAGTTCTGAGTTGCATTCCGGTACTACAAAACTCTTGAAATTGGGGGACCACACGGCTAATTTTCAGGGGACCAATTTGGACCTTCCGGCTGTTTCGGAATAAGCCTACAAACTAATTAGATTTTTAAATGTTCGATACCTATTAGATATCGTATCTTCGTTTGCTCTGACGTGAAGCAGGCTGTGCGTGGAACCCCTTGCCCATGTACTGTAAGCTCTGCAATGGCTCTCAAGTTCATGCCCTTCCAACTCCAGTTTCCGCAGGCCTCCTGAGGGGACAGAAGCAAGGCCGAGGGGCTGGGGGCGTAGGGTAATTCAGTCCAGTGCTTCTCAGGGGTTGTGCTCCCCGTTTCGCCTGTGTCTCGTCCCTGCTCTACTCTCTTCAGCAAGAAAGCACACAGGCTGGCCCCCTTCCCACCTACCTTCCCTCCACCTCCATGTCCTCACTCCTGGTAGAGACTGTGTTCTACTTTGTGCTCAGCAGTTTAACTTGCAATGAAAATATTGAGTCCGTGGGGACATACACCCCGAATAATGCAAAATCCCTAACAGTGCTCGCTAGCTAGGGGCAGGAAAGCTCCTAACCACGGGACAGCACCCAATTCAAGAAAAGATTATCGCAAATTATTTCATGGGGTCTGATGAACAAGCCCAGTGTTGACTCTGTGGCCAGCATGAAAAAGCAGAGAGTGCCTCTGTTCAACCAAGACCAAGTGGTCTGGGCTGGGGGTGGGGCGGCAGTCGTTCAAGGTCTGGGCCTGGCTTGCAGCCAAGTGCTGGGAAAGCCGGCCCTGATGCCCCCTTCCTGCCGAGTCTGGCTGGGGAGAAAGCCACACTTCCTTCCAAACCATCAGTCACAGGACAGCGTGCTAAACGCTGAAAGCAGAGGGCGCGGGCAGGCGAGCGCAGGGTAGGGACACCTGACCCGCTGGAGTGGAGGAGGGAGGAGTACATAGTTGAGATCGGAGAGGAGTAGAAATTACCTACGTGGGAAGCGTGGGCCTGGGCTCCAGGCAGTGGAAGGCCTAGCGGCCAAGGGTGAAGCTGTTGTCTGGGAAGCGGGGAGGTCAAAAGCAGATGCCAGATGTGGGGGGTTGGGGGCGTGGGGAAGGGAGGGGACGCTGGGTGGCAGGCTGGACCAGATCACAGTCATGAAGGGTAGTCCTGGTCCCACAAAGGTTTGCTCTTTATCCAAACAGCAGTGGAAGCTAGGAGATCTAAGCTGGGATTGACAGTGTTAGGTTTACATATTAGAAGCAGGACTCTGATGTGCAAATGGGCTGGAGGGAGGCCGTGCTGGTGGGGAGCCAGTTCCTCAGGGAAGGGATCATGCCTGGCGGCTGGGGGTTAAGGCCATGACACCAGGAGCACTGGGCGCAGAGAGATTCGAGAAATACGTCAGTAGTAAAACTGGCAAGGGGGCACCTGGGTGGCTCAGTCGGTTAAGTGTCCGACTCTTGGTTTGGGCTCAGGTCGTGATCTCATGGTTTGTGAGTTCAAGCCCCACATCGGGCTCTGTGCTGACAGTGCAGAGCCTGCTTGGGATTCTCTCTCCCTCTCTCTCTTCCCCTCCCCTACTCGTGCTCTCTCCCTCTCTCTTTCTCTCTCACGATAAATAAACTTAAAAAGAAAGTAAAACTGGCAAGAGGGGTGACTGAGTGGGCTCCCCGGAGGGGCTCCCCAGAGGCAAAGGGAGGGGGGAAGGCCGAGCTCCTGGCTGGGAAAAGCGGAGACAGCCAGGCCCTCGTTGAGTGAACGCCGGAGGAGCTGGCCCACGGGACACCAAGGAACCTGTCTGGGTGTGGGTCGCAGCAAATGCCTGCAAGAAAGCCAGTAGCCTTTGGGGCCGGTGCTCGGGAGAGAAGCGTGGCCCGGTGACAGAGATCGGGAGGCCATCTGAGTGTAGATAACCACTGACATGGGAGGGTCTGAGACCCCCACCCCAGGAATGGGACCAGGTGAGAGGAAAGGAGAGGGCCCGGGCAAGACAGAGCCCTGATGAGCGACAAAGCGTCCTGGGTGGCAAAGGGCCTGGAGGCCTCAAGGAGAGGAGGAGGGATGCGAGAGGGATGAAGAGGCCAGAGAGAAGCGGGGCCAGGGGAGGGCAGCGGCTTCACCAGCGGCCGGTGCTGCCGTGGGGCCCGACCAGTGGGCAAGGTGGGTCCGGAGCACGCAGGGCGGACCCCACAGAGAGCGGGGTGGGGGGGGGGTGGCACAGGACACCAGCCAGCACCCACCTGCCAAGGCCAGCTGTGAAGTTTTCAGGGAGTTTTGAGCCCAGGGGTTAGCATAGCCATTGTTCAAACTTCCCTGTATCAAATCTATTAAAAACAGAGGAGATAATTACTCAAACCCCATCACTTCCTAGTTCACGTACATTTCCCTACTCTCTGTGTTCTTCGGGCCACTTTGGTCTGTCGTGTCCTTATGGGGGAGACGCGACATCACACATTGTCACCGCCCCTCCCTTCCCAACGCCTGGATCCATGATATCGTGGCAGGACCTAGAGATGCCCGTGGTGGGGGTACTCACACCACGGAAATCCGCAGACGCTGCAAGTCGGCGCTGTATTTTCGGGAGGGCCGGTTGCTAAACATTTACCGGCATATCCATAGGACGTGAAGAGATGTGGAAAATAGGGGAGGATGGTGTTTCAAGAATTTCAGCTCTAAAGAACAGGAAAGGTGGGGACAGCAACTGGAGGATAACGCGAGGTTGGGAGAAGGGTCCCGAAAGAGGAGAGACTGGCATAGGGTCCGTGCCTCCACCAGCCCGTTGCAGACACTGGAGCCAGAGGGTTCGGCGCACAGTGAGAAGCCCAGAAAGACTCCAAGAGATGGCCATTGGGCTAAAGTGGGGACGGGTCCGACCGTGTAACGTGACCCAGTCAGGAAGGGGAGGGAGAGGAACCAGTAAAGCGCTTGGTGGGTAAAAGGAAGCTGAGAGGAGTCCTGTGAGAAGCAGGAGGTGAGGTCTTCTCTCTCACTTAGGCGCCCGATAAGTAATAGTGAAGTGAGCGAATGAACAGGTGTTTACAAGAGTCCCGGGACGGTGGGACCACACAGGGTCCAAGGAAGGAAGAGAACGTTTCGAAGGGTGGCAAAAGAGAACTGGAGAGCTGGGTGGGTAACCAGAGGGCTGCTGCCAGTAAGGGCTGGTTAAGGTTAGTTGGTTAAGTGGTTAAGGTTAAGCTCCAGCGTGAGCAGGGAGGGAGGCCACGGGCCAGCTGTGCGTTCCTCGTGTGCTGTCGCCTTTCCTTATTCCGTAGGTATCCTGGCATCTGTCTGCGGCGGGCTCGTGATGCTGTTGCCTGAAACCAAGGGTATCGCCTTGCCAGAAACAGTGGACGATGTAGAAAAACTTGGCAGGTATCGTATGAAATTCAGTGCACCTTAAATAAAAGCAGCGTTTCAAACTACTAAGGGAAAAAAGGGTGTGGAGAAAATTGAACTCTCATGGGGGGAAATAATATCAATCCGTCATCTCACGTCCTAAGCAGAAGATTCAAAGTTGATTTGGAAGATTAATCTAAAAAAAAACAAAACTCTGTAAGAATGTATATTATTTTTTAAGATGTGGTTATGAAGAGGGAAACATTGCTAAGGTGTTAAAACTCAGAAAAAAAATCTAAAGGAAGAGAATGGGTCATTTGGCAAAGCAGAAATAAATGTGCATCAGTGGGAAACTGATTGTGAGAATGGTAATATATTCATGGTATGGCTTACTATATAGAGATGAAAAGAATTGAGATATATCTGTATGGAATGACACAGTAAGATCTTCAAGATTGATTACAAAGTGAAAAGTTGCTGAACAATGTGTTTCAGTATTTATTAAAAAATAAAACCAATAGCGAATCCTCTCTGGAGCTAGATGAGAAGACAGAAGATGGAAAGAGAGAGAAAAGAGATAATGGATGGGTGGATGGAAGATGGGTGGATGGATGGATGGGTGGGTGGATGGATAAAAATAGATCGATAGATGATGGAGAAGGAGAAAGAGAGATTAAGTTTTGGAGAAGGGCGTCTAACTGGTGTGTAGGGCAAGTATCTAACTGATACACAAACATGAAGAGTTATATCAAGAAAAATTCACACTACACAAATTCTTTCTAATTTCCTCTGCTGGAAGTGTTTCATAATAAAAAGAGGAAGAGAGGATATGAAATATGAGAGTGTAGCAAAAAATCTAATATAGTAATGTAGACCCTCTTGGGATAGCAATGAATTGGGAAGAAGACTTCACTTTTACACTCTGTAGACTTTTTTTTTTTACATATTTTATTTATTTTTGAGAGATAAATAGAGACAGAGCACAAGTCGGGGAGGGGCAGAGAGAGAGGGAGACACAGAATCCAAAACAGGCTCCAGGCTCCAAGCTGTCAGCACAGAGCCCGACGCAGGGCTCGAACTCACAAACTGTGAGATCATGACCTGAGCCAAAGTCAGACGCCTAACCAACTGAGCCACCCAGGAGCCCCATACACTCTGTAGACTTTTGTATTATTTGATTAATTTTCTCATTACAACACATGGCCTTGTATTATTTGCATAGTTAAAAAACAATTTAACTGCTGATTTTTATTTTTATTTTTAATTTTTTTTTTAACGTTTTTTATTTATTTTTGGGACAGAGAGAGACAGAGCATGAACAGGGGAGGGGCAGAGAGAGAGGGAGACACAGAATCGGAAACAGGCTCCAGGCTCTGAGCCATCAGCCCAGAGCCCGACGCGGGGCTCGAACTCACGGACCGCGAGATCGTGACCTGAGCTGAAGTCGGACGCTTAACCGACTGCGCCACCCAGGCGCCCCAACTGCTGATTTTTAAAAGAAAACCAGTCTTCTAACTAACGGCCTGGAAATTAAGTATGTGGCTCTCTCAACTTGAAAAAAAATTTTGCATCAAAAAGCTTTATAAGAAGACCGAAGTGTTAATAACCTCATGGCAGTTCTTTTCCTCACTTGTAGATTAGGAAGAGATTAGAAGGCGGCATTTTTTAAGTACCCGTGTGATGGATGGTTTCACACATGCCATTTCATTTAATACTCAAAATGATTTTATGCAATTGCAGTTCTTGTCCTCACTCATTTCAGTACTAGGAAATCTATGCTTAGAAAGGTTCACAGCTTTGGGGCACCTGGGTGGCTCAGTCGGTTAAGCGTCCGACTTTGGCTCAGGTCAGCAACCATTGCTAAGTGTCTCCTGAGTATGTTACCAAACCTCTAAAACTTATACAATGATTTTATTGGATTTTATCACCCTGTTTCTTGATGCTATTTTGAAACATAAGATTGATTCATCATCTCAGAACTTTCCTAAGGAAAGCTCATCAGTGTGTGTAAAATAAAACCATCAGCTCATATCGCAGTAACTGACTTGTAACAGTCAGAGAACAGGTGGGCATTTGCCTCGGGAAGTAATCCAAACAGATTCTTACACTTGTTTGGAAATGAAGTGACGAGTAATGACTTACTTCTCACCCAAAACCTCCACCTATTTTTCACCCTTAGAGCAATGATACCTGAAATTTGGAGTGAGGTCGAAGATTCTCTTTGAGATACTGCCATTTTGCAAATCAAAATTAAGAAATTTATAAAAGGTGTTAAACTGTGTGAAATCCTCTTGAGCCCGATACCATCGTAAGGTCCTGCTTTATCCAAAAGAAACATTTTGCTAACTGTGTCTTTCTAGACAATTGCTTGGTTTGTATCAGAGTTCAAGGACCAGGTCAGGGTGGGTGGCGTCCTAGTCCTGTCACATAAAGAACTTACATGCAGATTAACCCTGCCTAGGGTCTGAAAGCAGGTTTTAAAAAATGAGCCTGGTGACAGTTTTTTTGTCACCTTTGAATTGGGCTTTTATGAGATGTTACACTTCCGTGTGTTTGATCAAAACCAACTATAATGTTGAGCAAGAAAACTTTGTGGTAGTTTGTTGTATAATAGTTGATAAGGACTTTCTCTTCTCTCCTTGTTTTGTTAGTCCATATTCCTACAAATGTGGCAGGAAAAAGAAAACCCAAGTTTGCAGCTCGCACCTTTGAGGCCCCCCTGCCAAAGACAGAAGGGAGGGGCTCTCTAGGTCGATGTCTCTCAAGGAACCGATGTGCCTTGCACACACGTGCGTGTTGTCCATTTTAGCCACTTTATGCCGCACGGCTCTAAGCGTTCGTCATGCTGTACAAAGACATTCAAACTGCCCAGAGTATATTTATATGATGTCGGATGAATTAGGATTTATGGCGCTAGGGAACTCTCTGGGCGCACAGAGTATGCGGCTGGTTTAGCCAAGAGCTTGTTGCACATACAGCGCCCCCCGCCCCAGTTTTTGTCTAAAGTTGGGGCAGCAGGTCTGACCCAGTTATAGAGGGACGAGAGAAACCTTCACCAAGTTCTCACGACTGCTTGCTCCATCAAAGATGAAGGACGTGCAAACCAGGGATCGGGGAAAAGTGTCCAGAGCGGGTTCATCAAATCTGATCGACGAACGAAAGCTCCGAGCTGAGCGTTCTGAAGATTCCAGGGAGGATGAAGATTTGGAAATCCTGCCTGTGAAGAGACTGAATCTAAGGCCCCTGGGCCACGTGGTACTGAGGCTTTCCTTTCTCTTCTTGTTTTGCCCTGTGGAAGCCACTGTAGCATCTGGGCCTACGGGCATGCTCGGGCCTTGTTCCGTGATCATGAACAAATCCGCTGTACAATTTGAGGATTTGACCCTGTTGTTTTCTTAAATCAGATTTGGGCCTCAGAAGATAGAGCCACATACTCAGTTCAGTATTGAACAACATCCATGGATTCTGAGTTCATGGGTCTTAAGATTTTAATCTTGAAGGGATATTTATCTTATATCTTGGGAGTTCAGTTCTATGATGCCGCCCGTGGTCAAGGGTGAAAACCATGGACTGTTCTCATTCAACCTTGACACGTTTAACCTGTCTCGGGAAGCAGCTTACACTTTAATTTAAAAGTAAGGTCAATTTATATCCATGTTTAAAAGAATTGGGAGAAGCTTTAGAAGTGATGTCATAGACACTAATAAGGGATTTGATCTTTCTTTTTTTGTTACTGAGACTTTTGAAATGCAGAGCTTAAATACATATCTGTTACCTTTTCCTGCTGTTCTGCTTTGTATGTTATATTCGTGGTATTTCCGATTCAGTATATATCTTATGCAGAAGTTTTTCATGAGTTATTTTGTGTGGACAGACAAAACGAGCACCGAGGAGAGTCTTGCCAACGAAGAAGACAATTCTTTGTGAACACATGACAATAGGTACGGGGTGTGGGCTAATTGCAAAATAAGTTTTGTAATCCTCCAGCACAACAGGACTGAATATGAAGGTTTTATTTTCCCATGAAATAAACACCGCTCTTTGGGGACTTCATGCTGCCGTCACCCTGTACTCATCCACACTTGCAGTGTCGCTGTTTCCGCACTTCTCTATGCTGGAAGATGACTATTCCTCCTCGATACTCTCACCTTTGAATTGCATCTTGAGTTGCTATTTTGGTTCTGGTCACAATAAAAAAGTGTTTAATTGTCAAGAACAATCAAGGTTTGTTCTCCGTCTTCCTTTTGCACACGCGTCACTGGAAAACACCGTTCCCGCGTGACAGTACAGGCTGTCTGGGCAGACAATTAGGGATGGAAATTAAGTGCTCTACCTTCAGTCTGCGGTCGTGGATCTTGGTACCATTCCTAGATTCAAATGTAACCCAGAATAGCACGCAGGCTCCCTACGGGTCTTGTATTACACTGCCATTGCCCGGTTCCCTTCACCGTGCACAAGTCTCCGCCCGGTGTCCGCTGTGCTCAGCTAACGTCAAGTTGTCAGTAACAGATTTCATCCCCAAGAATAGAATTTGTTCTCATGACTTCCCATACATGCTGCAGCTTTGAAAACATCCATCGCGGTGCCAGACATAAAGACGTGTGTCAACCCGTCTTTTGTAGACATGATAAACATATGGGCGGCTTACTAGGACTTCTCTGCTCTCTTCTCTATGATCTTACAGGCTCCTTTGTCCTTTATGCAACGACTCCTTATGAGAAAGAGAGAGATCACCTAAGTCTGGCAGTCACACTATTTAAAATGGGTAGGATAAACGAAGAACAAGAAAACAATGAAGCTCAAAAAAGTTAAAGGAAGTACAGAGTTTATTTTCAACAAATGTTATAAATGTGTTACGTTTTTTATTACAGAATCCAGCAGTCCACGGACAGGAACAATTTATCCACGATAATACTAAAAAATGTTGAGGTTTAGCAGCGGGCGGTGTGAGTACAGTGTGTTGGTCTGATTACTGTCAATCATTTCTGAGCGTGCTCAATGCCCCACCCGCGTTCCAGCTTCTAGATGTGCTGACGCCTCGCTCTGTCTCCCATCCGATTAATTGTTTCTCATTATCCCTTCAATCCAAGGAACAAACCTTGAAACACGAACATAGACACCGGGCTTATTGGGGCGGGCACAGCCAAGACCCCAAGAAGTGACTCCTTGTAAAATGTACTTGTCCTTCTCGAAGCAGACCAGAGGCCCTCCGCTGTCACCCTGGGCAGAGAGAGAAAAGAACCACGAGAGTATTAAACCGGCATCCTTTTATTTTGGGATGTCACCCCTCTGTTACCCAAATGTGTGTTTTCCCAGCACTTGAACATTCTTTTGCAATTAGAAAGAAACTTATTAATGTGTTATTTGAGTAGCTTCAGTACCCAACAAGGGCTGAAGTGCTTCGGTACTTAACAGGGTACATTTAGCAAAACCACACCGTTTGGTGTTCCTGGGGGAGAAGTCCCTTGTGAAGAGTGGACTCATCCCTTCGTGCCTTGGGGTTTCCCTTAGGCAGAGTAAACCCCAGAATAATTGCAAAGGGGGCACAGTTGGTCTTTTCCCCATACCCTCCATTGCTTCCCTGCTAGTAAGGCCACCACCCGAGTCCCATGCTCCAACACAGTCCCCAGGTGTGTGGGGCTCTGGCAGTGATGATACTTTACGACTCCCTTACAACCCATCTGGAACTCAGGGCCGGAGAAATCCCCTCAGATGGTCTCAGTCCGCATTCAGGGCCAGACCTAAAATGTTTCTGGGTAGCACGTGGACGTGGCCTTCAATGGACAAAGGCTTCCTGGATTTGCCACTCGGGGGGGCAGAGGTATCTAAGAGGCCGACGCAGGACGGCAGAAGATTGGACTTTGTCCTTACCTGACAACTGTCGGTGCCTCCGGCCAAATTCCCAGCACAAAGCTCTGTGGATTTGACTCTTCCGTTGAGATACTCGTAGCGGTTGCACACCTTATTTTCAATCACCGGTAGCTGGGCTTCCTTGAGGAGACCAGCGCCAAAGGTCCCTGTGTTTAAAAAGATTAAGGAAATGGCTGCCAGATCCCAAATATGCCCCCAAGGAAACTTCCGGCACAACAGAGCAACAGTGACAGGTCTCTTGTTTGACCGTGAGGTTGTATAAAGAAGTCAGTTCCCGGGGCGCCTGGGTGGCCCAGTGGGTTAGGCGTCCGACTTCCACTCAGGTCGTGATCTCGCGGTTCGGGAGTTCGAGTCCCGCATCGGGCTCTGTGCCGACAGCTCAGAGCCTGGAGCCTGCTTCGGATTCTGTGTCCCCCTCTCTCCCTGCCCCTCCTCTGCTCACATCCTCTCTCTCAAAATAAAAATTAAAAGAAGTCAGTTCCTAATACTACTGGAATTCTTCTCTTTCTTTCTACCCCTTAAAGGTATAAATATTATATATGATTTCATGTTCCCAAGACCTGGATTTAAAAATCTGGGTTTCTTTGTGGTGTTTTGGGGTTCATGTTGTTATGTTTCTTTGGTTCTTTTTTTAACTCTAACGAAATCTTTTTTAATATGTAAAGAGAGATTGAGAAATACAGGTGTTACTATATCATATATTCACTTTCAGTCTTTTTTAGATGCTTGTTTCTTTTTTACTACTTATATCATATTTCATGACTTTATACCCTGGTTGATTTCACACAATCTTATATAATAAGGGCTTTTTTTTGGATACTACAATCTTTGTAATTAGTGGGTTGTGTTTTTTTTGAGAGAGAGCAAGAGAGAGCTCACACGAACAGGGGAGGGGCAGAGGGAGAGGGAGAGGGAATCTTAAGCAGGCTCCACGTTCTGCAAGAAGCCAAATGTGAGGCTGGATCTCACAGTCGTGAGATCATGACCTGAGCCAAAATCCGGAGTCTGATGGTCAATGAGCCATCCAGGTGCCCGTAGTTAATATCTCGATGGGGGTGACTGCTTCATGGGTGGGTGGTTTCCTTTTAAGGTGAGGAAAGTGTTCCGGAAATAGTAGTCGTGGTTGCACAGCATTGCGAATGTACTAAGTGCTACTGAGTCGTACTCTTCAAAATAATTAAAATAGTGAACTTTATGTCATATATACTTTACCACAATAAAAAAAAAAATGGCCACCTTTTACCGGAATAAACTTTTTCAGGCACAAGCTCGTTCGGTGGTGTATCTCATTTAATCCTTACCATAGTCACACGAAATAGGCACTTTTGTCAATTCTATTGCACAGTGAAGGAAACTGAGGCTGGGAGAGGGTGTGTAGTTTGCCCAAGATCACCCAGCAAGTCAGTGGAGGAACTGGGATTTGAAGTTGGGTCTGTGACATCATTGCCCAATTCTTCACACCCGTGTTTCTGGGCTCCTACAGTGGTTTCCAACTGTCCACATCTTTGTTCATGCATGTTATTTATATTCCTTAATATTTTCTTACCCTGGTTCCCGGAAATTATATACATGTGTTTATGGCTCCCGGTTAACGTTGCCAAATTATTTTCTAAAAGTGTATGACAGGACACGTGATTTCACCAGAAAAAAAGGGCACTTCACCCTACACTTCTGAGTATTTAATATTTTTAAAAATATTTGCTAATATAATAAGTGAAAATTGTCCTGGTTTGGTTCCTAGTTTTCACTTCTTTTCCAGTTAGGAAGAGTAAATATTCTCCCATGTGTTTGTCTTACTCCTCGTATTTCTTTTGTAAAAAACTGCTTTTTTTTTTTTTTTT